GCTGCCCTTCCTGTGCAAAGGGAGCAAAAGGCACTGTGGAGCTTTTCCCTGTGAGGTACACCTGCTGCTGCTCCTGCCTCAACTCAGCCCACCTCATATTCCACCCCCAGGGGAGGTTCCAAGTTAGGCAGGAGAGTTGGCTAGAGTAGGCCTAGATGGCATTTCTTTTTTTTTTTTTTTTTGGAGAGGTTTTCGCTATAGGGTGCGTGTGCTCGCCAGACAGACAGAGAGAGAGAGACATAGAGATAGAAAGCGAGAAATCACCCCCCAGGGGGGATGGTCACGCCGCAATCCCTTCTCCTCCATTCTCCTCTCGGGATCTTGGGCATGCAAGCACACACGCCCGGCGTGAGTTTTAAGCCACCAGGTCCGAGACTCGAACCACGTTCGACTACGTGGGAGTCCAGTGACATAGCCATTACGCTAACTGCTGGTTCCCTAGATGGCATTTCTTGGGACCAAATTTGCCCAAGAAATTCTATCTTGCTGTCACAGTGTCTATGGAAGGCTTTTGCGAGATGACCAGCCAGAAGTCTTTTGTTTGGGGCCTGAATATTTGCTCATGGGAGCCTGGATAGTAAGCCTGGAGCCCAGCAGAAAGATCAGGGTGTGAGGGTGAGTCCAGACCCTGGTTCCTTGTGACCAAGGGCTTCTCAACAGTAGATAAGTTTAGAGCTCTTTAGCAGGGAATCCTTACTTGCCTCAGTGTTTGCGCTTTACAGAGCATGGGATCCAGGAGGGCCCCCGGAGGGGATGTTTCACAGCTTCCCAGCCATTTACCCCTAGGAGGTGCAGGCTGCTTGCATTTGCCCTTTTTCTTCCTCATCCTGAATTATGCTTGACTGCAAGTACACATGAGTGACGCATGGTAGTCAAAGGTCAAAGAACACAGCTGCTATAACCCATCACCTTTGACCAGGAAGTCCAATAGGAGACACATGACTCAGTGGGAAGTCACCTGCCTGTTTGAGGGTCACACAGAGAACATCACTTCCTTGCCTGCCCTTTGGCACCAGAAAGAAAGGATGATGCTATCTTGCCCAAAGGTGGCTTTAGGCAAGACTCATGTCCATCCTGTTTCTCCATCTGGAACATGGGAGGTGGTATTGACCTACCTCGGGGTAGAATGACTGAGAGGGGTTACTGCTGAAGTGCTTTAGTGTGAAGTGAGGTCACACAAAGACCCTTCCTCTTTGGGGTAGAAGGGATTAAAGCCAAATGTCCTTTCTTGTACCTTACATCTGCAGATTTGTCACCACTGCATCACATTTCTGTCATATAGCTATTGGCCATTCTGAATCTCCTGTGTAATCTGCATCTCATTAGGCCAGTTACAAGGCATTGCATCCACAGAAAAAGTTAGTATGCTGGCATTTGTTGGACAGAGGTTTGGTATCCCTTTTTTACTACCACCTTCTTGAGGCCCTCCCCACCCTCAACCCTTCTTCCCCACCTGCCCCTTCCAGATGACAAAATCATTTAAACAGAATCATGCAAGTCCACAGCATAGAAGAAAGAACCCAGCAAGGAGCCAATCTCACAGCACCCTGTAGAAGAGTATACCTGAGGGTGGCCCCACAGCATGGGACCAGGCTGGCTTGAGAGAGGCCTGGTTATAACAATACCACTGTTACTATCTCATTAAATATGTGTTTCTAAGGGGCGAAAAGAAGACAGAAAATACAAAGAAAGATATAAAATGATACCAGAATAAAGGAGTATCTATTCTTACCACTTTCCACTCATGATAAAGCAAATAAGAAAGAAAGAAAAAAAAAACATAAAAAGACTTCCAACATAGTAAAGTAGATCAAATTGATATATATCAAGCTGAATTCTCCAAACACACAGAATATATCTTGCACCTCTATGGGGGAATAAAGTAAATTCTCAAAAAACAATTCCATGGAGGCTAGCAGGTAGCATAATAGTTACAGTGCTAGGCTCCCACATGACCAAACCACAGTTCAAGTCCTGGACCTGGACGCTTGAAAATCATGCCAGGTACATGTGCATGCATGCCCAGGGGAAAAGAAGGGGTTGTGGCCATCACCCCTAGGGGTGATTTCTCACTTTACCTCTCACTGTCTATCTCTGGCAAGCACATGTACCCTGTGGCAAAAACCTTTAAAAAAATGTCATCTCTAGAAAAGCAAAAATTCTTCAGTCAAAGATGAATTGCAGAGATTAGCAGGTGACGTGGTGTTTAAGGAGCTAGACTGACACCTGGCCAACCATGGTTTGAGTCTTGGTCCTGGTGACTTGAAAATCACTCTGGGCACATGTATGTGCATGCCCAAAATTCGAAGAGGAGAATAAAGGAGAAGGAATTGCAGTGTGGCCATGCCCCATGGGCAGTGATTTCTCACTTTCTTTCTCCCTCTCTCTCTCTCTGTCTCACTCTCTATCCAACAAATATACATGCTCTATCGCAAAAATAAAACAAAACAAAAAATGAATTATAATTTACCAAGAAAATAGCAAATGAAAACATTTGTAATAGCACAAGGTATGATGGTATTTCTCAACCTCCTTGAATTATAAGAACTCACCTGTGATGCTTGTTAAAATCCATTGCTCATGCCCATTGCCTGTGAGACTCCAATTCAGAAGGTCTGAAATGGTGCTAAATAATTTGTATTTAGCAAGTACCTCCAACTGAACCTTTTCATCAGGAAAGCTTAGAAAATTATCTATGGTGATATAACTAAAGGAGTGCTGAGGGGGAAATTCATGACCCTAAGTATACATATAAATAAACATTAAATATGAAAATGAGTGAATTTAATAACATTTAAAAGTTATCTAATAGGGGCCGGCTGGTGGTGTGGTGGTTAGGGCACTGACCTCCCACATGGCCAACCACAGTTAGAGTCCTTGCATGGCTAGCTATCTTGCTTTCTCTCTCTTTGGTGAACACATGTGCCCTGTAGCAAATTAAAAATAATAATAATAAATAAATAATTTTGTTTAAAAATTGCAAAACAAAACAAAAAAATGACCTAGGGGAAAAAAAGAAGTCAATTTCTAGAAATAAAATATAAGTTAATTGATCAGGGGAAAAAAAAACAGAATAAAACCATGAATTACTGAGGGGAAATTAAAACAGGATATAAATCATCTAATCTCATTAAACAAGTAGAAAGAAAGAGCATATATATGTATACATACATATTTCACATGAGCATCTAAAATCTAGCCATTCACCATAACATAATAAAATTATCTCAGGAATATAAGGATGGTTCAATATTAAATAAGAAGAATGAACAATATTGCCAAGCTTGAAATAAACAAGAAGAGATGTGCACTCCCTTCCACAGACAAGGCTAATGAATACAATCTACAACAGACAAGGAAGTAAAATTAAGCTGAATGTCAACACTGATCATGAAAAAAAAGAGAAGGAAAGAGGAGCTTTGTAAAGTTGCAAATATGCTCCGATTTTTAGAAACATTTTCAAAATCTCATCTAGCAAATCTAAAGGAATATAATTGGTATAAAAGGTAACACATTAATGGAATACCTAAGGACAGGACTACATATGGCCACAAGTCCAGTCCCCGAGGTGACAGTCTATGAACTATATGAAATAAAGATGAGAAGTGCCAACATCAATAAAATGTGTGCTTTTTCTCTATATCCCTCTTTGAAAGCTTTGGAGCTTTACTTTCTCATTGGTCTTTTGCTACAGAGAAAATTCCTCTTCAGTGCACACCTTTGCGGCTGGTTTTCTCATGGGACCACCTTAACCAGCTGGTGTCTAAAAAACACAAAATTCACGTGGTCTACTAGCTATGCCTTTGCTGCCTTTTGCTCTTTTTCTTTTTTGCTTGTGGGAGTGTGCATTCACAGAGAGAAAGGGTCAAGGAAAGTGAGAAAGCAACTCCCATGAAGAAGTCATGTCGCAATCCCTTCTCCTCCATCGCTCCTTTTGGGAATGCACACACATGCACCTGGCATGTTTTTCAGCTGCCAGGTCCAGGGAGAACCTCACAGCCATGTGGGATCCAGCTGCCTTATCCACTATGCCACCAGCTGGCCCTCTTCGCTGACTTAAGAGTGTTTGCCAAGGGAACCAGCAGTTAGCGTAATGGCTATGTCGCTGGACTCCCACATAGTTGACCATGGTTCACGTCCTGGACCCGGTGGCTTAAAACTCATGCCGGGCGTGTGTGCGTGCGTGCCCAAGATCCCGAGAGGAGAATGGAGGAGAAGGGATTGTGGCGTGACCATCCCCCCTGGGGGGTGATTTCTCGCTTTCTGTCTCTATGTCTCTCTCTGTTTGGCGAGCGCACGCGCCCTATAGCGAAAACCTCTCAAAAAAAAAAGAGTGTTTGCCAAGTTAAAGCTCCACCACATTGTGTCTGTAAGCTCCCAACCAGCTTGGTTGCAGCTATAATTTCCAATAATCTATAAACTGCATAATCGGCATCAAAAACCTTTCTGCTCCAAGGACTAAATTTAATATATTGCTCTTAGCAAAGTCATCACCTGCCAGCAGGCTGGTCCTTCATTTTCAGGGCATGACTACAAGCAAGCACATGCGCAGACAATTGTGCTCTAAGAAGACTGACACTCAGCCAGACACTTCTACTAGAACAAAATCAGAGTCTTGAAATATGTATTTTGTGCTTTGATGTGAAGCCAACAGCTAAGGAGAAAACTCCTGAGCTCTTAGGAGGAGCGCCACTCCAGGAGGGAACAGCAGCCTGACAACACAGCCTGGAAGGCCTTCAGTTGGGAGGGGAAGATGTAATTGAAAACACATGAGGGAAAAAAAATTCCAACAAGGGTCTGGAGCAGCTCTGCAGACAGCTTGTGGGGGCAGGAGCCAGGAGTGGGAGACCCATGTATGTTTACGTAGATCCAGCACATAAATATTTTGCTTCATGTCTAACTCCAAAAGGCACAAGTGCAAGAAAACATCCTATGCTACAGACGCCCAATGATGATACACATACGCACGTGCTTAGGTAAAAAGATGTATTTCAAAGTGGGAACAGCGGCATGTTACAAAAAAGCCACTGTGAATCTTCAACTAGATAAATAAATGTATAGCCCTCAACAATGTGGAATTTCATATCTCTCGTTCAACAGTCATGTTTTGATTTGTTTTACTTGGATTCCGTGAAGAAGTGGCGCTCCGATTCAGTGGACGGAAGACTTCTTTGGCATTTGCTTTTTTATTCTTTCTTCTAATAAGGAGACTACATTCTAGATAAACAAAACAGACAGGTGAATGTCATCCAAGGTTTTGTCTTTCTTTCTGATCATAAAGTACTACAGAATTTTCCTTCATAGGCAGAAAGAACATCCCAACCTGTCTGTCAAAAACTCTGGCCATTTCTAGGACACCTTTGCCAAACTGAAAGAGGAAACAACAATTTTATATTTATATTTTTATACATATATTTTCTTTCCTTCTTTCTTTTTTTTTTTTTACTCCAAGGAAAAATCTTTACAGATTATTTACCTCATTTTTTACACTTGCATCTGCCCCTTTGTCAAGAAGTAACTGAACTAACTCTTCATGATTATTTAACACGGCCACCTACAAAACAGAAACAGTGTAGTGTAAATGACCTCTCCCCCGCAGAGAGTACAGGCAACAGGAAGGTTGGGCCCAGCATGTGCAGGCTCCAGGGAATCCACTAGTCACATCCTCAGAAAGACAGAGCTAGCCTAGGCCTCTGTAGCTTTGCATGACAGACATACATACTGCATGTTCTACAACAGCGACTGCAAGGGAAATGGAAAGGGACTCTCTCTCTCTCTCTTTCCACATTCAAACGGCATAAAGACTAGGCCAAAGACCAGCAGTTGGCATAATGACTATGTCGCTGGACTCCCACGTTGTCAATCCCGGTTCAAGTCTCAGACCCGGTGGCTTAAACTCACGCCGGGCACGTGTACATGCATGCCCAAGATCCCGAGAGGAGAATGGAGGAGAAGGGATTGCGGCGTGGCCATCCCCCCTGGGGGGTGATTTCTCGCTTTCTGTCTCTGTCTCTGTCTTTCTGGTGAGCGCACATGCCCTATAGCTAAAACCTCTCAAAAAGAAAGAAAGAAAGAAAGAAAGAAAGAAAGAAAGAAAGAAAGAAAGAAAGAAAGAAAGAAAGAAGGAAGGAAGGAAGGAAGGAAGGAAGAAAGAGAAAAAGAAAAAGAGGAAAAAAAAAAGACTAGGCCAGACAAGTACAGAAGGCAGTACATTCTTTGTTTTAACAGATCTGTTTTGATATTACAATGGCCTTGGAGGCTGAGGTCAGTAATCCTTAAAGAAACAATTGTAGAAAAAAAATAACAAAAATATTATAGTAGCATTCTCATGCCTTTATTAACAAACCAATAGGGAATACATATGCAACCAAAACCTAGGGGGACACGTACGTGGATCAACTCAAAGAGCTGTCTGGTTAAAAAAAAAGCTCTAGAGGCCAGCAGGTAGCATGGTAGTTAAGGCTCTGGACATCCACATGAATCTATGTGGTTCACGTTCCAGACCAAGCAACTTAAAACTCATGCCAGGCATGTATGTGTTCATGCCCAAAATCCTGAGGGCAGATGGAGAAGAAGGGATTGTGACATGGCCATTACCCACGGTGATTTCTCACTTTCTCTCTCTCTCTCTCTCTCTCTCTCTCTCTCTCTTCTCTTTCTCTGGTGAGCATACGTGCCCTATGACCAAAAAATAAAAGAGAAAGAAAAAAAAGCTCCGACCTTAATTCCAAACATAAACCATGCTATTTTAGGAGAAGGGCATACCATGAGAGGTGTCTTTCCATCTTTGTCCTTCACGTTCACGTTGGCACCAGCCTCAATCAGAAGGGAGGCTACCCTCTGATTTCCTGAGACCGCAGAGACTCTCATGAGTGGAGTCCATCCTGAACCAGTATCCACAGCATCGACCTGTTATGCCAGAGGGAGAACTGCACTTAGTCCAGTTTCTTTTCTTTAAAATTATTCATCATAAACTCTTACAAGGAATATTTACTTGCCCAAACTTCCCTGACTCAGGAGGCTTTCGAGACCGAGTCTAAGTTGACAAGACTGTGCTAACATAATTCACATTTATAAGCACTGAGAAGGTGTGATAGAATCACTATAGAGGGTGCGAAGAGTCTCCCATGGACTTCCCATCGGCCTCTTTATCTACACTCTTATCAAATAAAATAAAAGATGGGCTACACAAATTATCTGAACATAACCACCTTACTCTTGGCTCCTTGTACTCTCCCAGTCTTATTTTCTCTTGCTAACTTTCCTCTCCTGTTGTTTTTTTTTTTAATAGCATTTGTTTGTTACTTTTATGTATCTTCATAAGCAGCTTTAATTAAATTCTTTCTGCAACAAGACAGAAACAATATATGCACATCCCTATACTTACCATTACTTAACCAGTTTTAGGCAGGGGACATACATGTAGAGGAAACACAAAGTAACCAGATCCATTGCAAACTCCAACCTGAGAAATTAGATAACTGAATGCCTTCTCCAAAACACCTGTTCCTGAGGAGTAAAGTAACCATTTCCTAATAATGTGTTTTATGTTGAAACCTCACAGTTTATTATCTTAAACATTTTAGAACATGAACATGTAAATGTTGCCTCTTCTAATTCTAATGAAGGCTTCATCAATCCATGATGTGTGACATTAAAGAGATATACATGTATGTGTGCTTGCTCAGACTTGCATGTGCACACACACACACAAATTCTGTTACAAAATTACTTAAAGGTAATCTGCAGCTTTAATAAAACATCAGAATGGAATAACAAGGACTGTCAGGAGATCACTGGGACATTCCAGGTTGTTTATATGTATGAGATGATCTGCTGCCACATCATTAGGATTCGTAGCTCTTCCTTACACAAGTAAATAACCCATCAGCAGCAAGCTCCACTATCATCCCAAATTACCTGATGCTTTATACAATTTCAACATGCATTCATGTTTGTTGTTTGTTTGTTTGTTTTTTGGGTTTTTGTTGTTGTTGTTGTTGTTGTTGTTGTTTGGGGGTTTTTTGTCCTGAAGGTTAAACAGGGTAAGTATTTTTATTCCTGGTTACAAATGACCAAACCAAATCTCAGAGAAGTCACCTGACTTTCCTGAGGTCGCATGACTCATTAAGCAAAGAAGTAATTTATTAAAGTAAGTCTCTCAATATAAAATAATTATATTTGGAAAGAGGGTGGTGATGCCCCACTTGCCTCCTAAATCCTTCTCAGTCTTTGGAAGTATCAGGTAAGCCATCTGCCAAGAACCTGGAGAGACTCATGCGGACATCATCTGTCCACCACTAAGCCTACCACACAGAAATCTTTACCAGATATAGTTACGCTTCTTGTTCAGTCCTCTGCAAAATAGCCCCAGTGCTACAGAGAAAGGGAATTTCTTGCAAATAGACGTGTTTGTATATCTGAAGCCTAGAGAGCCTACATTTTCAAACTCTTAGTAATTAAATATTCCTAGCAGAGATCTGGTCTATTCTGAATCTTTTTCCTCTTTCAGCAAGGTCAACCTTCATGTTCAACTACAAACTTTTACTGGTCTAAGCATTAGTGGGACTCATCCTAAACCAAGTAAGGTCACTGTGGCTGTCACTACCACACAAGGCAACTGAGAATGGCTCTACCGTGGAAGCCCACAGTCTAAGTCTTCTGACCTCTCAAGCAGTCTCTAAAACATAAAAAGAGCAGTTAAGTAGAGAAGCAAGACATTTAGGGGACACAGAAGTGAAGGACTGTCTGCTGATGATAATGTGTATGATAGCTTCAGCTGGACTGGTATGAGTGGCATTCAGATTGGGAACTCATGTTACAAGCTGTAGTGATGTGCAATGATTGTATAAAATAAAAATTAAAAATAAATAAAGAGATCATCTTAATGATTAGGAATTTTTCTTCAAGGGGATACTTTTCTCAGTTCTCCAAAAGCAGCAAGAACCACTGAGGTTCTATAACTCAAGCCTTGCTTTCCCTCAACCATGGCTCAGAGACAAACTACAACAAATCTAACATATTTTGGACAACACAACATTTTTCATTTTGAGTTGTTTTTCAGATCGTGAATTTAATTTTTCAGTATTCTACACCATCTGGCAATCATAGCATAGCATTTTGCCCACTGTTCTTTATTTCCATGTCTTGATATTTTTCATTTCTTTGAAGCCTTGAACTAAAGTCTTAAAAGTTATCAGCATCTATTAAAGTTTATTTAATTCTAGTTATTTCTCTTCACATATTATAGGCCTTCAAAAAGTTCATGAAAAATATGTATTATGGAAAAAGTACGCATGGATTTCAGTACTTTTGCACCAAAATAAACGTGTATTTGAATTCCACTTTCTATGAACTTTTTAAAAAAGAATTATTTTATTTAACTTCATTCATTATTTATTTATGTATGTATGTATTTAGACCAGAAAAGGACAGAGTAAGAGAGACAAAGTGAGAAAGCAAGTCGCCAGGTCTGGGACTCAAACCAGTGTCAGCCATGTGGAAGTCCAGTACTCTTAACCACCACGCCACCTACCAGTCCCTCTATGAACTTTCTGAAGTCCTTTCTTATCTATAGAAGTCCAAAATTCTATTTTTTTAAGGTTTTGATAATAGGGTATATGTACTCATCAGACAGAAAGAGAGAAATCACCCCCCCCAGGAGGGATGGCCATGCTCTAATCTTTTCTCCTTCATTATCCTCAGAATTTTGGACACACACACACACACACACATACATACACACACATACACACACACACACACACCCCTAGTGTGATTTCCATGCCACTGGATCAGGGATTCCTAACATCGGCTGGCCATGTGGTAGTCCAGCACCTTAAGCACAATGCCACTTGCTAGCCCCAAATTCTACTTTTATTTGGTAAATCAAATGTGTACTTTGTTGGGCCAGTCCTGTAGACTAGTGGCTAAGGAAGCCAGATCCCAAATGGCTGACCTCAGTTTGAATTTTGGCCCCAGCAGTTAGAAATACATACCAGTCATGTGTACATGAGTGCCAAAATCCTACAGGTTAGAGAAAGGCAGGAGAAAGGACTACTACATGGCCATGCCCCACTGGTAGTATTTCCCCCTTTCTCTCTCTCTCTGGCAAGCACAGATACCCTCTGGCCATTTGAATAAACAAAAGGCAATTTGTGCTAACAAGAAATCAAAAGTAGACAAACATATCTTCTTCTAGGTAACGACACTAAGAATTTAAATTATCTACTTTCTTGACATAGTCAGTTTGCTCTTTGGAAATTTTTTTACAATAACCAATCTTTAAGGCAAACCAAACATAAAAATAATCTAATTTTAAAAACAACAAGAGGAAGACAAGAAGACTGAGTCCACCATGAGTGCTTTCAGAGATAAAAAAAAATGAAGATGTTCTGCTGAGAAGTCACTCTGGTAAAGCCTCCTCTATCCTCTCTCCATCTCTTTCCATCTCTTTCTGTCTCTCCATCTTTGTCTATTTAATATTTTTTTTAAATATTTTTTAAGGTAAAGTATTTTCTTGGCTCTGAAATCCTCCTTTATCTGGGTAATAATCCCTTCCACTGTTGCTCATCCCATTTAGGAGAGGCAAAAGGCACAGGCCTTCAGACAAGAAGACTGAGTCCACCATGAGAGCTGAGATCTAGTGTGAGCATGCCACGCAGTTTTTATTTTAAGAATAAATAAATAAATACATTTTTGGTTTTCTCTCTTTTTTTCTTTCTCTCTTTCTCTGTTTCTTATCCTTTTTCTTTTACCTCATCATTTTGCTGCTCAGTCTCCTCACAGTGAGTGTCTAGACAGGTCTAAGTGAACATAGCCAAGTATCTGAATACTATTAAGGTCAATGTATTCCTCAATTTCTACCAAATCTGTGACACAAAGGGAGAAAAATGGAATGGCAAAGATTTTGCATACCACCTCCTCCTATGTGCCTCTGATCACTCAGATTGAACTTCTAGAAATGAGGAAGAAACAATTAACCCATCAGATGACTAGAAATCACCACAGAGGCAGAAGAAATATGAGAAAACAAGAAAATGCCTCTCCCCAAGGGAAAAGAATAACTCCTCTTCATCCACAGACAGTACAATGGAACTCACAGAAATGTCTGATAAAGAATTTAGAATATTCATAGTGACAAAGCTAGCAGAAATGAAAGAAAAGAGAGAAAATGAACTCCAGAAGAAAAAAAAGCTGACAAAGTCCAGGAGGTGAAGAAGTTCTTGTGAGAGCTGAAAGAGGAAGTATACACAAAAGAAAAGAATCAAATGGAACTGTTGGGGATGAAAGCTGTAATACAAGAAGTCAAACCTCCCTTGAAAGTATTAAAAGCAGACTAGATCATATAGAAAATCGAATCTCACATGTAGAAGACAGAATCACTGGACTAGTAAAATCCACCACAAAGACTGAGAAAATAACCCCCCAAAAATGAGAATAATATATGAGAAATACTATATACCATTAAACGTCCAAACATCCAGATAATCTGTATCCCAGAAGGTGAAGAGACTAATAAGGGCATTGATAATCTATTCCATGAAATCCTGGAAGAAAACTTTCCAAACCTAGAGAAGCATTCAAAGAGCCAGATCCAAGAAATACAAAGGATCCCAAATAGGATCAACCCAAAAAGATCTTCTCCAATACACAATATAGCCAGATTGACAAAAACAGGGTACTGAGATTAACAAGAGAGAAGTATCAAATTACCTACAAAGGATATCCCAGCAGGCTAACAGTGGACCTCTCATCAGATACAATGGGAGCAAGGAAAGAATGGGAAAATAGGGACCAGCAGTTAGCGTAATGGCTATGTCGCTGGACTCCCATGTAGTCAACCGTGGTTTGAGTCTCGGGCCCGGTGGCTTAAATTCACACTGGGTGTGTGTGCGTGCATGTCCAAGATCCTGAGAGGAGAATGTTGGAGAAGGGATTGCAGTGTGGCCATCCCCCATGAGGGGTGATTTCTTGCTTTCTGTCTCTCTGTCTCTCTCTGTCTTTCTGTCCAGTGCATGTACCCCATAGCAAAAATCTCTCAAAAAAGAAAAAAAGAATGGGCCAATACACTCAAAGTGCTGAGTAAAAAACAATTTCAACCAAAATACTACATCCAGCAAGATTATCCTTCATATGGAAAGAGAAGACAAGAACATTCTCAGATGAACAAAACCTGAAAGAATTTACCGACACCAGATCAGTTCTCCAAGTTCTGAAGGGAGTGCTATCTCAGAAAAACTTAAGTCAGACACAAAGAAATAAGAGTTCAAAAAGAACTAAGAAAATGACCAGCATAATGGTAAAGACACGTCTAGAGTTGAACATTATCTTTCGGAATTCAAACTGAAAGATCAGACCACAAGAGAAAATAAAGTACATGAGTCTGAACTGATTAAATAACATTTTATGACTTTTGACTAAAACACTACTGATCTTCTTCTGTGCTTTATTCTCCAGAGTTAAGGATTTTTGTCTTCTCTCGAGTTGTGGACAGGTCCATGTACCTACTATTCAAACAGAATCCTTGCCAGTTTCCTGGCTTTAAGTCTTAAGCAAAGTTCTCTTAACATTTTTTTTATATTTTATTAAAGCTAAAACTGCCTTTCTTGAAATTAAAAAATATATTTTCAAAAAATACCTATTTAATGACCACAGTTAGCTATATAGCCTCAGCTAGGTGCTGCTTTGTAGTATATTCATTCTACCCACAGAGTTTCATGGCTAAAGTCAACATGTGTTCACAGATATGTAAATATCAGCTGGTTGAAAGTATTTAAGATATTTTGTGAATCAATAAAATGGGGGAAAAATGAAAAACAATGGAAAGCAACTGCAGATACCAGAGACAGTGTGGGAGGAGGGTGAGAAATGGGGGAAAAAAATATATATGTATGTATATATATATATACACACACACACACACAGACACACACATTCATACAAGAAACAAGAAATAGCAAATTATTTGTTGATGATAACATGTATGATTAAGCCACTTTACAGTGTATTCTGGATGGGAAATTGCATTCTGTATGCTGTGATGTTCAGTGAAAGAATGTAAAATAAATTAAACGATTTTTTTAAAATTAGAGGCACTATGGCTAAAGCGTTATTAAAAACTTTGTGTCTCTAGTACTTAAGACAATATCTAGTACATGGTAGATGCTTAGTAAAGTTTTGGTGGCAGACTAAAGAAATCAATGAATAAGCAAAGGAATAAACAAAGCAGGAGCATCAGGTCCAGCTCTTGAATTCAGCCCTGTTTCTTTTTCCTACACAAGATGCACCTCCATGGCAATCTGAAGCTTCACCACAATTCTATTTCTACATAATTCACTTCTACAACAATTGCTCTTTCCAAGGTTTCAGGGCTCTCTTTATGATAAGTCAGAAGATTTTCTCCAGCATCTTTTAGTTCAACTAATAAAAGACTTTGCTTTCACAGACCCTATAAAATAAGCATTTCAGATGATTAATCATGGTGTGTGGTTAACAAGGAAGGTCCCATACCTCACAGCCATCCTTGATCATCCACTCAATCACATTGCAGTGGCCTCCATCTGCAGCCCAGTGCAGAGCTGTGCAGCCTCCCAGGTCTCTGGACTCCCATGAAGCACCATGTCTTCGGAGATATTTCACAACATCTAGGTGCCCCGCGTAGCACGCAAGCATTAGACTGCAACATGTGGAAGAAGCAGTATTTGGCTGTAAGTGCATGTAGTCAGCAAACTCAGGTCCACTTTTTACCCTAATTGACTTAAACCAAGGCAGATCATATTATGAGTGGTAAAGCAATGCAAATTAATCATACAAAATGGGGCCCAGCCTGTGGCAAGGTGGTTAAAACAGCTAGATCCACATGGTTGTTACGTTAAGAAATTTCCTACACAGTGGTTAAGGTATTAGATTCCCACAGAGCTGACTACAGTTTGAGTCTTGGACCTAGTGGCTTAAAAATTATACCAGGTATGTGTGTGTGCATGCCTAAAATCCCAAGAGGAGGCTGGAGAAGAAGGGATTTCAGCATGATCATCCCCCTGTGGGCTGATTTCTCACTTTCCCTCTCTCTGTCTCTCTGATGAGCACATGCACCCTATAACTAAAAACTAAAAACTAAAAACTAAAAAAAAAAAAAAAAAAAAAAATTCTTTAAAATACACAGCCTCTTCTATGACCCTTTGAGTTCAGAAGGAAAATGTGTATAAATACCTACAAACAAATAAATACCCAAAACCTTTCTTTTTTGTACTGTCAGATTTTAGCAACAAGGTATCTTCTGTAGCTTTCCAAGATTATTGGTAACTGATTATTGGTAACCGGAAAATCTGAACATGCTCACCTATAGAACAGTCAAGCCACAGAGTCCATATCAGAGGTCTTTAATAATTTTCTAGTTTCTGGCATGAATATTGGTTATTTCGGGTTTACTGTTTCTTGGGTTGGTTTTGGTGGTTTAAATTTTCTCAGAAAATGTCTCCATTTCAATGACATTATCAGCTCTACTGTCATAGACATACGTATACCAATTTCAAAGTTTCCCCTAAAACCACTGGGTTTTTCTGTTTGTTTGTTTTGTGGTTTTTTGTTTTGTTTTGTTTTGTTTTGAAGAGGTTTTTGCTATAGGGCGCGTGCGCTCGCCAGACAGACAGACAGAGTCAGAGAGACAGAAAGTGAGAAATCACCCCCCGGGGGGATGGACACGCTGCAATCCCTTCTCCTCCATTCTCCTCTCGGGATCTTGGGCACGCACGCACAGGCGCCCGGTGTGAGTTTTAAGCCACCGGGTCTGGGACATGAACCTCGATCGACTACATGGGAGTCCAGCGACATAGCCATTATGCTAACTGCTGGTTCGCCCCTCTCCCCCTTTTTTTTTAAGTTTGCTATAGGATGTGTGTGCTCACTAGAGAGGGAAGATGCCCCAAAGGTGAATGACCACTCCACAATCCCTCCTCCTCCTGAGAGGAGACTGTGCACACACACACACACATGCACCTGATATAACACGTGAGATTCTTAGTAAACAGGGCCAGGTGAAAATGCAATGAGGGCCCTAAGAGAGGGACAAAATACCAAGAATAAGTGAAAAAATATCAAAGTAAGTGAACATCGCTTACAACTGATTCCTAGCAGAGAGCTGGTGATAACTGTTTTAATAACAGTAATTTGCTGAGCACTTAGTGCACACTAGGCCTGCGTAAGAGATGGCAGACACATCTAATAGGTGCCTCTTGAATATCCTGATGAATGAAAGCATAAATGAGCAGGTGAACAAGCCAGCTTTTGTCATCACTATCTTTTTGTGAAGGAAGTACTCATCTCTCAGTACTATCAAAACAAATTGAAAAAAATATTTGAGTTAAGTCAAAAAGCATCTGGACACATGCCTGGTATGGTAACACAGTTGTGGGAACACGCCCACACATTTCAGGCCATATCCCACCTCGTACCTGTCCTTGCCACTTCCATTCTTCAGATTCACATCTGTGCCATTAGAAACAAGGATTTTCACAAGCCTAAAGGAAGCAAATCAAACTGTAGCTAGATGAGTCACTTTGATAACTTAGAGCCCAGATAAACTAACAAAAATGAGTAACATATTCAAGCCACATCTCTGCAAACTTTCTTCTCCATCTTCAGAATTTAACTAGTTATAAAGACAAGGCATTACCCAGGGAACTACCTCCCCATACCAAAAGAATATTGTTTGGGGGAACCAGCAGATGGCGTAATTGTTACATTGCTGGAATCCTATGTAGTCGACCGACCATGGTTTGAGTCCCAGACCTGGCAGCTTAAAACTCACACCAGGCACATGTGTGTGCGTGCCCACCCAAGATCCCAAGAGGAGAATGGAGGAGAAGGAATTGTGGCATGGCCATCTCCCCTAAGGGATGATTTCTTGCTTTCTGTCTCTCTGTCTCTCCAGTGTACACACAGCCTATAGCAAAAATCTCTCTTTCGTCTTATAAAAAAAAAAAAAAAAAAAAAAAAAAAAAAAAAAAAAAAAAAAAAGGGTTGTTGTTTTTTCTTTACATAACTATTGATTAAAATCTAACTAAATCACATGAAACAAATCAGACTATCAAAATAATTCATTGTCATTTAACAGCCCTTTTTAATATATTCTCAAATGAAAGCATTTAATGAAAACACACTTCTATTTGTTTCAAAATGGCATTTTAGTAATTAAAATATAAATATAATTTTTAAAATAAGATATTAGTACTATGATTGCTTCTGTGTGAAATACATAATAGAGTATATTGGTGAAAAGTACATCTTAAGGGTCAGCAGGTGGCGTGGTGGTTGGGGCACTGGACACTCTCACATAGCCAATCACAGGTCAAGTCTCAGACCTGTTGTCTTGTTTTCTCGCTTCCCTTCTCTCTGTGTGTTTGTCTTTGGTCAAATTAAATGACTGAATGAATAAATAAAATTAAATAAATAATGCTTAAAAAAAAAGTACAGCTTAGCAACCTAGTAGGGAATTTTATGCCCTAGAATTAATATCACTTCCCATCTTTTTTATTTTGTAAAGAAATTCAAATTCCAGGGCTCACAGGTGGCGTGATTGGTTAAGGTGCTGAACTCCTACAGGGCCAACCATGGTTCAAGTCCCAGACACAGTGGCTTGAAAATCATGCCAGGTACTTGTGTATACATGCCCAAAATTCCAAGAGAAGAATGGAAGCACTCTGGCATGTCTTTCCCCACCAGGGGTGACTTCTCACTTTCCCTCTCTCTGTCTCTGTGTGTGTCTCTCTCTCTATCTTTGTCTCTCTTTGGTGAGTGCATGTGTCCTGTGAGTACATGTGTCCTATTGGAATTCAAATTCCAATAACCAGTTTTCTCAAGACATATCAAATATTGGCTCATCGGAAAGTCATAACGTATTTTTCTACACACACAAAAAAAAATGCATCATGACTTTTCTGACAACCCAATACATTGCATATAATCAAATGTCTACCTCTTTTTTAAGCATACAGCTGTATATTTACTTGCTTTCTTGTATGTTGTATAACTTAATCATAAAACAGCTGTATTTGTAAGTCATTTGATGTTACAGTTCTAGAAAGAGAAAAGAAGTTGGTTCCTTTATAGCCCTTTTCCCTTCCATGCCTATCCTGATCCACAGCCTTTGGGAGAAGTAAAAAGTTCAACCTCACTCAGAGATGAGAAAAGAAGAAGTGTACCTGCTATATCCTTTCTGAGCAGCAACCATCAGAGCAGTAAAGCCAAACTTATTGGGAACATCAACCTTAACATGGCTTGGGAAAAACACAAAGAAAAAAGATTAACATGCTCAGCACAGTTCCCTGTAGATTCACAGCTGATGGCTCTTGCAGGGCACAGGTGGTTTAAATGGCTCATTTTACCGAAAATTCCAATTTCTTCTGGACCATTAAGCTTTTGTTGTCTTAGACTACCCTGCCTAATATTTTAAAAGATTCAAATTTACAAGAAAAGAAGAGAAAATTGCCGTAATTTCACTTAAAATAGGCACTCCCTTCAACTCATAACCATTATGCCATCGATAAAACACCCTCTGGTGAGCACAGCCTTTTTAAAATGGCTGAAGACAGTGTCTTCACTGCAGATTTTCTTGGCTCCACCAAACATGAGTCTGCTTTAGTGGAGACCTATGCTTTCCTCTTGATTTCCATGTCACCTACAGTATATAAAGTAATGCTATCCAAAGAATAAAGCAGAGTTTCGTTTTGTGGATTCTTTTGGTTTTTTTGCTATAGGGTATGTGAATTTGTCGAAGAGAGAAAAAGTGGAAAACACCTCCGAGGGGTGATGGTCACATGACAATCCCTTCTCTTCCATTCTCCTGTGGAATTTTGGGCACATACACATATGTGCCCAGCATGTTTTTCAAAGCTATTGGGTCCAGGATTTGAACCATGCAGTATGCCATGTGGGATCCAGCTGTCTCAACCACTACGCCACCGGCTGGCCCTAAAGCAGAGCTCTCGATGTCAGCTTAGAGTTTTGATTTTTTGTGAGAACTTTCTCTTCTCTAACGTACAGGGCTCCAATTCACAAATGACTTGTCTTCTAAGGCACTGAAAACTATTGATTCAGAAAGAATCCAGATAACTTCATCTGGTTTTCATTTAGGAGACAGCTTTAAGCATTTTATCTGCAGCAGCTGTATTCACTCTTTTTCCTCTGGTGTTACATCAACGTTTTAAATTAGAAAGCAACAAATTTAGTGATTCCCTAATTTCATCAGGAATTAGATGTGGGGACTTCGGGGTGAAATTTGCCTAAATGCTGTGGCATATAAGCAAGAGACAGAAATTGTTCCTGGGAAGAAAATTTGACATCCAGACTTGTAATTTCCTTTTATAACTTTCATTAAATAATTACAGAACATAACATTCACATGGGGCTTTATGATCATCTTTATTAACTATGCTTTATTAACTCATACCAGTCACCTGAGATCAATTTTGGAAGCAGTTTTAAAGGCATGGGAATTTTTAGAAAAACAAAATAAAGCTACATCATGTATTTCTATACACTTTATGGGCATTAAAAAAGAAAAAAGAAGAAGAAGCTGGCAGAGTTTTCTTACCCTCCTTGAAGTATTCGAACAAGCAAATCTTCATCGTTCACATTGACAGCTCGATGAAAGTGCTCACTACTTATGGGTTCTCCTGAAGAAATTAGATGGAAAGCAGTCATCCAAAATATAATGAAAGAAGATTCAGTCCAGCTCTATTTCTCCTGTGGCCTTGAGTGGATATCCACGTTCACCTCCGGGAAGGCACTTGGCCATTCCTACGCGTACATCTTACATTTCCTGCTCAACTACTTCTTTTACTGAAAAAAAGGCCTTGTTTTCACATTTTTAGCCTGACCTAAAGGCTTGGGACAGTTTTAAGTTACAAAGTATTGCTTTGTGAATGTTATTTTGATATTTGAAAATAATTCTTTCAGATTTCTAAGATTTAATAAATGCCTCTCATGAGCAGGAAAAGCTCAGCGATTGTAACAACATGCTAGTTTTACTTGCCAACGAGTCGCTAAACTACTTCAACAACAAGCAAAAAGGGAGAAATTGTTTTAACATTTGAAATTGGAAATTTCAGTTCTTCCCAAGAATATGACCTGTATATTGGCCTTGTCTCCTTGGCACTTGTGGGAGCAGAAGGACCTCGAACCCACGGGGACGTGGGGAGCATCATGAGAAAACCTGCTTAGGGGAGAGAGGCTGCCAAGTAGAGAAGAAGAAGAAGTCTGAGGAAGGCTGAAAGAAGAATGGGAAACAGTGGGGAGGGAGCCCATTTGTACAGGGGAATGTTTTTTTCTTAGAAAGATTTTTGCTATAGGGTGTGTGTGGTCACTGGAGAGACAGAGAGACAGAAAGCAGGAAATCACCACCCACCCAGGGCAGATGGCCATGCTGCAATCCCTCCTCCTGCATTCTCCTCTCAGGATCTTGGGCACACACACACACACACTCACCTGGCATGAGCTTTTCTTTGTTTGGTTGGTTTTTGGTTTGTTTGGGGGTTTTTTGTTGTTTTTTGGTGGGGGGGGGAGGGTTTGAGAGATTTTTTGCTATAGGGTGCATACACTCGTCAGAAAGACAGAGAGACAGAAAGCGAGAAATCACCCCCCAGGAGAGATGGCCATGCCGCAATTCCTTCTCCATTCTCTTCTCAGGATCTTGGGCACACACACACACACACACACACACACACACACACACGGCATGAGTAAAAGCCACTGGGTCCAGGACTCGAACCATGGTCAACTACATGGGAGTCCAGCGACATAGCCATTACAGCAACTGCTGGTCCCCACCTGGCATGAGTTTTAAGCTGCTGGATTTGGGACCTGAACTGTGGTCAACTATATAGGAATTCAGTGATGTAACCAATATGCCATCTGCTGGCCCCGTGTACAGGGGAATAATAACTCCTTAGAGAAGAGAATAGGGCAGGAGTTCAACATAAGCAACATGCAAAAATGAAGAGCCACATAAAAGCAGCCCATCTTTCAAATATTTATTGCATCATTTCATTTGTTTCATATTCCATGCCTTTTGAATTTTTTAATTATCATGATTAAGTCTAAAATAAAATGGTACAAGTAAAGTACTTAAAATAGTAGCTGACACAGGTAAATATCTAACATGCACCTATTGTTGAGGCAACAGTGAGGGTAGTAGACAGCAATGGTTGTTTGATACAGCCCCCTCCCACACTTAGAATACCAACTGGAACGTGCCAGGTATTTTCATTTTTAATCCCTGCTTTAAAGTTCTCATTCATTCATTCAACATATACTTATCGAGTCACTTATATGCCAAGTCTTGTACTAGGTATTGGGGACTCCAGAGAAAATGAGACCAACATGGTCCTCTTGTTGGCTGATATCATAGTGCTCACTTTCAACCTGTTATTCTAAATTCAAATCCTAAGAGAAAAATACCCACCCCTCAGCACTGTACCCCAGACTGCTCCCAGGGCTCATCCTCTCTACTTCACCTCCCGCTTGTAGTCTGGCCAGCAGAGGTTAGGTGGCCTCCCATTTCCATACTTCATGATGGAAAATCTCTCTGGGACATCAGTTCCCAGGCATAGGAGCCACTATTCTCCTGGCCATTGTGTCTTAGCCGTACAAAGTGAACGCAGCAAAGTACAAACTGGAAATAGAGTGAGTAGGAGAAAAACATGGGTCTCTATCAGAACGACATTTAGCTGATATCCCTTCTCTTCTTCTGGTAAAAATAAATTTATGCCAAGTTAAAATTATTTTGAAATAACAATTTTGTCTGCTAGAGCTTGCCAATCTCTTAAAGACTTTTTAGCCACATTATACTTCCTTTTCATCATTCCACACATACTTTTAGACCAAAGGCTTCAAATAAAAGTATCATAATAAACTGTCAAAGCCAAGGCCCACAACTATCCCTGGCCTTCCAAGAGAGGTCATGCCTCGCCCAGTGGTTTCACTAGGGAGAAGGGGCTGGAAAAGGGGTAGAGTTTTATACTCCAGAGGACATTTGGCAATGTCTGGTGAAATTTTTTTTGGTTGCCTTAGGGGAGGTTGCTACTGGCATGCAGTGGATAGAAACCCCAGATACTGCTAAACATCCTGCAGTGCACAGGACAGCCCCCACCCCAACAGAATTATCCAATCCCAAAGACCGATACACCAAGGTTGAAAACCTTGAGCTAAATTAGACTCATAGACTGTTGCTCTTCCCCCTTGCTTCCCAGGAAGGAGAGAGAGAGTGGTTTGGTTGTGAAGTCTCCACTAGCCCACTGAACAACATCTGTGCCTCTCACACTTCAACTGACACTAAAAATAAAAAAACAAGTGATATAGATGATAGAATCACTTACAAGGACCTATGAAACTCTGTTTCTACTAAATTTTTTAATGTGGTGATATACTAAATCCAATTCTATTCTTTAAGTTGTATATGGGACTTTACACAGTGCTTTGTAAATTGCCCTCTAAACCACAAAACTGAGGCTCAGTTGTCCAAGGTTGCCCAGTCAGGAGTTGGCAGCATCAGAGCTCAAGGCTGGGTCTCTCCTAAGGTCACACTCTTTCTCTT